AAGACGCTGCCACCTTCTTCGATGTCTTGGTGAGAGGTCCAGTGTTCAGAAGGCACATTGAGATACAAGGCGAAGGCCTCTTTGGATCTGTAGTGTGCTACCTCTTGAATGAGAAATTTTAGAAGCTATCAGTATTGAATGGTGACCAGAGGAAAATACTGCTCTACATATAGGTCTGGGCTGTCATACAAACTGATCTGCTACTGGGGCCTCATGACCTAGCAGATCCAAAAGTATTCGACGTATTTGTGGCAGATGCAAATGCTGTTTAGAACCTTTGGGAGGTCGCTGTAGAAGCACAATGCAAAACTTCAGGATTTTGGAGCAAAGCGCTGTCATCATTTGCACACACAGTGTTCTCTTTTGATAGCTCCTGGTGTGCTACAGGAGCTATCAAAAGAAGAAGTAGAGACAGAATGTGTGACTCTGAGCCACTAAGTAAACATTCAACCTCTTCTGCCCTTCAAGAACTGGGAAATGTCTGAAAAAACAAGCAATGAATTATGTAGATAGCAGCACTCCATTACAAGTTGTAGTTTCATATATGAGACTGGTCTCAAGCAAGACCTAAAGGTAAAAGTAAGAGGCTCAGATTTGCATGGCTCCTCCTCTTGCTGAATTAACCGTTGTTTCTCAATGCAAGCATATTGTAACATTTTGATGCAAGAGGAAAATACTGAGTCTTGCTTACTGATAATTCTATGTAACATGCTGGCATCACCTAAAAGTGGAGAACTGCAAGATTACTGCCTCATCCAAAAAAAACCCTTCAGCAGCCCCATTCTTCAGGAACCGTGAAGGACTATGGCAAGGTAAACACTTTCTGTGGGTAGAACTCCAAAAAATGCTCCCAAGTGTTCTTTTTCCTGGAAGGAAATTATCAGGGTTGTATATCTATGTACATAAGCTAATAGATTGTGCAGATAATCCAAAATCTCAAAGGGCCAGAATTGGAAAATGAGTGACAAAGAGGTATGGGGAAGAGATGTGTCACAGTATAAAGATATTTTTGTCCTACCGTAAGTGCTATGAAAGAAATTCTGGGGTATAGAATGGGGTATGTAGAAGGGATTAAATCAGTAATTAATAGGATTTAGAAGTGAAGTCACCATACTTTTAAAAACAATGTAATGTAGAGCTTATCTCCAGAAAAAATACAAGTATATGGTACATACTTTACATTTTCTGAAGGTTCATGAACCTTCTAACCAAAACGATGTCTACAAATATCTTAGACTAAAGGTTCAAAACATCATTTTCAATAGCACAGATCTGATAAGAATTGGAAATCCTTTTCAAATCTGATTTCAAAGTGAACAAAACATGCTTTAAAGCCTAGCCTCCAAGTAGACAGACTACTTAACTGGGTGCTTTAACATATTAGAATCTATCCAGTCTCTTTCCCATTCAGTCTGTTTTATTCTCTTTGCCTTCATCACTCTCTAAAACACAAGAACCAGAACATTTTATGAATAATCTTAGAGATCAACTAACCTAACCCCCCTCTCCCTGAGTTTTACTGATGAATAAACAGACCCCAAAGGTAAAGTAAGGCACCAGCATAGTATGACAAAATCAGACATAATCATTATAATTAATAGTTACAGTATACTTTCTTTGTGCTACCATGTTTGTTTTACACGTACTAAATAGCATGCGCTACCATGTTTGTGTTTTACATGTATTGAATAACTTAATTCTCACACAATTCTACTAGTATCATCTCCAAGGAAACTATGACTTGAGAATTAACTTGTCCCACGTCACATGGTTGGCATGTAATGAAAGTACCTGGTACATGGCCTGACATGGGTGGGAATTAAGGCAGAAAATAATAGCAGTTTCTTTCCTTCTTCTTGTTCCTTCTTGATAGAACCATCTGACAATGAAAGGACCCAGACTTAATTTTCCCAACTTCAGAGCCTTTTCTACCCCTGATCCCTCATTCCTGCCTTTCTTGCCATTCCTGTTCTGTGTCTCAACCTGACAATGAAAGATTTATGTCGGATCAAATGAAACTCACATACTTTCTATGATTTAAAGTCAGAAGTTTCCCTTGTCAATTTCCCTTGCCACCTCAAAGAAAAGCTTATCTACATTAAGTTCCTTTTTACTGATTTGTATTTTTATGTTCCCCCAAAATTTCACATTGATATACAAGAATCTTCTGTTGCTCGTTTAAATAATTCTCTGCTTGACTCAATGATTATAAATATTTATCTCCAAAATAATATGATCTATTTTTCTTTATTTATCCTCACTGTATATTTCCTCTAACTGAGATCCAGCCATCTGACATATCTAGGTAGACTTGATTTGATATAAAATTATAAACTAACTGTCTTAAGAAAATGTCCAAAGTGACTAACATTGGTTAGGTCGGTAAATAGCCTGCTCTTCTGGAAACTGTCTGCTTCTCTTTCCGTAAAATGGTTACGTTTCTTTAACTATTTTCTTCTGGTTCAAATGCTTTACCACATGACTTCTGTTTTAGATGATTATGGAAAAGAAAGTCACAACATTGCTGAGTATAAAGCATTCCTGGACTCTGAAACATCAAAATTTCAAACATTAATTATTCTAGTCTAAGTTATAACCAGTTTATCTTGAAACTAATGAAAAAAAATGAGAGCTAAATGTGTTTAGCATAAGTCAGATAGATTATATTTAATCAGTGAACATGAATTAAGAGTTTAACAATACTATGCATGAAAAGAATAAAAATGAGGGAATAGCATATTTTCTAGTTTTCTAAACAAAATGCAGCTTTTCATGGCAAGTAATTGACTTTCCCAAGTAGTTTTATTAATTGAAAACCTGAGGGACTAAAAGTTTATTCAGTCATACTTATTTTATTGTACACTTTGCTTTATTGTGCTTCACAGATACTGTCTTTTATATACATATATATATACATAAATTGAATGGCTGTGGCAGCCTTGCATTGAGCAAGTCTATCAGCGCCATTTTTCCAACCACATGTGCTTAGTTCATGTATCTGTGTCAAATTTTGGTAATCCTCACAATATTTCAAACTTTTTCTTATTATTATATATGTTATGATGATAGGTGGTGAGTGATCTTTGATGTTACTATTATAATTGTTTGGGGGTGCCAAAAGCCACACCCATATAAGACTTTAAACTGAATTGGTAAATATGTGTGTTCTGACAGCACCACCAATCATCTGTTCCCCATCTCTCTCCCTCCCATTAAGTCTCCCTGTTCCCTGAGACACAATGTTAAAACTAGGCCAATGAATAACCCTACAGTGGCCTCTAGGCATTCAAGTGAAAGGGAGACTTGCAAGTCTCTCACTTTAAATCAAAAGCTTGCAATGATTAAGCTTCGCAAGGAAGGCATGTCAAAAACTGGATAGGTTGAAAGCTAGGCCTCTTGTTCCAAAGGGTTAGCCAAGTTTTGAATGCAAAGGAAACGTTCTTGAAAAAAAATTAAAAGTGCAACCTCAGTGAATATAGGGATAAGAAGAAAGTGAAACAGTCTTTTTGCTCATCTGGGGAAAGTTTTAGCGGTCTGGGTAGGTCAAATCAGACATATCATTCCCTTAAGCCAATGTTTAATCCAGAACAAAGCCCTAGTTCTCTTCTTTTCTATGACGACTGAGAGACATAAGAAAGCTGCAGAAAAGTTTAAAGCTGGCAGACACTGGCTGATGAGGATTAAGGAAAGAAGCTGTCTCCATACATAGAAGTGCAACGTGAAGCAGCAAGTGCCAATGTAGACAATGCCACAAGTTATCCAGAAGATCATTGATAAAGGTGGCTACACTGAACAAGTTTTTCAGTGTAGACAAAATAGCCTTATGTGGAATGAGATGCTGTCTAGGACTTCATCTGACATGCTTTATTGTGATAATCACTTTATTGAGGTGGTCTGGAACTGAATCCCCAATATCTCTGACATATGCCTGTAATTTGCAAGGAGGGAAAACAACTTTCTGCTATTACATTCAAAATGGATTTTGAAGGGGTCAGTTTTCCTTTTTCTTCCTTTTTTTTTTTTGGAGACGGAGTCTTGCTCTATCACTCAGGCTGGAGTATAATGGCACAATCTCTGCTCACTGCAACCTCCACCTCCTGGGCTCAAGCAATTCTGCTACCTCAGCCTCCCAAGTAGCTGGGACTATAGGCACATGTCACCGTGCCTGGCTAATTTTTGTATTTTAATAGAGATGGATTTCACCATATTGGTCAGGCTGGTCTTGAACTCCTGATGTCGTGATCTGCCCACCTTGGCCTCCCAAAGTGCTGGGATTACAGGTGTGAGCCACTGCCCCTGGCCCAGGAATCAGTTTTCTATATCACTTGACTTTCTTTGCTCAGAAAGTTCAGCAACATGTTGCTCTAGGTCTTTGTTTAAAAAAATGCTATTGTGCCCAAATTATTAGAAACTTTCTAAGACTTAGTATCTGTTTCTTTATTAGAACTAAGAAAAAGAGAGATCACAGGTAGTGTCTGATCAAAAACCACAAGTATGCTGCACACTTGGCCTATTTAGGATTCAAGTTAGAAACTGTTAACCGAGAGATGTTAATTATCTTTTTTTTAAAACTTGCTTGTAGATCCCCTTTTTCAGCCCAGAATATTTCATAAAATGACACTGATATGTTTTGAATATATGTCCCCACCAAATCTCACGCTAAATTTTAATCCCCAATGTTGGAGGCAGGGGCCAGTGGGAGGTGTTTGGGTCATGGAGACAGATCCCTCAGGCTTGGTGCTGACTTCCTGATACGGAGTTCCTGCAAGATCTGGTTGTTGCAAATTGTGTCACCTCCCCACCGCTTTTCTCTCTTGCTCCTGCTGGCCTTCCACCATGAATAAAAGCTCCCTGAGGCCTCTCCCAGAAGCCTAACAGATGCCAGCACCATGCTTGTACAGCTTGCAGAACTGTGAGCCATTTAAAACTCTTTTCTTTATAAACTACCCAGTCTCAGGTATTGTACTGTATTTCTTTATGGCAATACAAGAATGGACTAATACAGACATACCATTTTTTTTGTGTGTGGTAAATTCTTCCAATTTCTCACCTTGTATTCCCAGCACTGCCCTAACCGGACCTGGGGAGTTTCATCTTACTTCTTTCAATACAAAGATTGTGAATATCTATGAACTCTTTTAAGACAATTTGTATTCTGCCATCAGGCTTCCTAAGCCTCCTTGTGGATCCACATGCAACAGAATTAGAACTTTCAAGGCAGTCACCAAACATGTAACTGACAGCTTTTTAAAAAAATTCAAAATGAGATTAACAAGCACCAAAGGTGTTATTCTCTTGTATTTATTTTAGCAGCAGCATTCCATCACTATGTTTCTTCCATTTCAGAAATCTGCAAAACTGCTGTAGAATATCAAGCAATTGTTCTTGTAAAGTGAATTTTTATTTTTTAGCTCACTGCAAAACATCTATTCACCCATGTTTTAGTCTTTTGTTCATTCTCTTCCAAGTTTGTACTTGGGAAAACAACAGGACACCAACCAGACAAGCTCATTACCATTGTCTGCAGATAATCTTTTACAGTCGGTGTGAAAAATCTCACCCTGAACTATGGCGGCTATAGTGAAAAGAACCATGGACACAAGTATGACTTGTGAATATGATTCATAAAGCACCCAGAGCCCCAGTGTGGCAACACCAGATGAATGAAAAAGGTTCTTCTACCAAGTTATCAAAATCATGTCATTCTCACTTTCCCTCAATAGTACCCAAATTTTAAAAAGAATATAAGTATAATGATGAAATACTACAAAAGTACCATGAGATCACACTGCACTCAATGAAAATTATCCATGTTTATGAAAATAAAGATCTGTATCCAAAAAAGATAGCGAAATGTCCACAATAAATTATAAACACCAGAACATCGAGGACTTTGATCCCTATATCCCAAGGCTTAGAAAACTGCCCAGCACCTAATAACAATATGAACTTTTGAACATTTCACCACGTGCCAGGCACAGTTCTGATAGGCTCCATGTTTTAACTTAAGGCTTACAGGCCACCAGTGAGTCTATAAAGTTTCAGTTTATATATGAGAACTGAAGCACGGGGTTAGATAATCTTGTGAGACAACACAAGTTAGTAGCAGATGGGTTAAACTCAGGCCTCGCATGTCTAAAATATGCACACTTACATGCTTGTTGAAAAAAACTGTTGATTAGGATCAGACTAGCTTTAGAAAATACAAGTTAAAAAAGGCAATAGACTTTGGCCAATTATTTGGGTAAAACGTCAAATGTCAGATATGTCGAGGCATGGGTAGCCTTCTAAGGAGCCATGGCTATGGAAGGAAAAAGTTTGACTTAACAAATAGGAAAGTGAGAGAAATAACGAAACAGTAAAATAACAGGATCGTGATGGGGCAGAGGTGGCCTGCCCAGACCTAAATGCCTCGCGGGAGACGAGGGGACGACTCAGCAGGACAGAAGGGAGGGAAGCTCCAGACGCCAGGGCCCTCTTCCAGATGAAAGAACCTCCCATCCTAAGTGTCTGGCGTTCCAGGAACACCTTCGCTGCTGAGCCGGCTCAGTGAGGCAGACCGGCCAAGCCTTCAGCCCACCTCAGGGCCGCGCAACGCAGCAGCTCCGCGCACGCGTAACAGGAGGAGACACCGCCCACACGCTAGACGCGCTGTGATTGGCCCCAGCTACCCCCCGATCGAGATTCCTATTGGTCCCAGGTTAGGTGCCGAGCGTGCGCACTTTGGACGTGGGCGCGTGTGTGGATTGGGAGGAGGTCGCGCTGTCCATGGGCGTCCCTGGCCTGCGCCGCCCGGGTGAGCGCTCCAGAGGCTGCGATCCCCGGGTCCCGACCGCCCGCCTAGCACTGGCCTGATGGGGAAGCGTCCCGGGGCTGGAAGGGCAGCCGGCTTGCCCGCGTGGTTGCCACGCCCCTCGGGCCCGGGGGGTCGCTGCGGGTGCTGGCTGCGCGCTCGGTCGTAGGGGGGACCCCAGGAGCGCGTCCCTGGGCCCGGCGTCGGCCTCTGCGCAGGGAAGCCCCTGGGCGGTGTGAGGCCTCTCCGCCTGCCGCGCCTTTGGCTCTAGACGCTTCCCAGGCCCGGGGAAACCGCAGGCGTGGACGCGGCGAATGGGGGACGTGACGGGGAGGGGCGCGCCCCGGCGACCCCGGGAACTTCCGAGCGTCCACCTGGCCGGAAGCCCCGCCCGCCGTCGCGTAGTCCCTGGGCCTGCCTGGGCTGGGGCCTCCGCTGACAGGCGTGGGAAGGTGGTGCTGGGTTGTGGCTCTGTCGCAGGGATGAGGGGTTGATCTGGGAAGCCCTCAGGATGTATGTGGCTCCTGGAAGGTGAGGCACATAGTTAGCTTCAGTAAGGTTTTCAACACCATGTTTCCGCAGAACTTGGTTATAATAATTATATCGCCTTCCACGTAGTACTTTTGGGGAGTTACTCATTTTAACAGATACTACGTGTTGAATGCCCTCTTGTTTGCCAGGTGCAGTTCTCATCGCTAGGGATGGAGACTTGAAGAAGATATATTCTGTTATTTTCTTTTTTAATGTGTGAGCTAACAATGATTTTATCCTTTGCCACCTTTTTTTTTCCTTTCAAATTTATTTATTTATTTATTTTTTATTATTATACTTTTAAGTTCTAGGGTACATGTGCACAACGTGCAGGTTTGTTACATATGTATAAATGTGCTGTGTTGGTGTGCTGCACCCGTTAGCTCGTCATTTACATTAGGTATATCTCCTAATGCTATCCCTCCCACTTCTCCCCACCCCACGACAGGCCCCGGTGTGTGATGTTCCCCACCCTGTGTCCAAGTGTTCTCATTGTTCAATTCCCATCTATAGGTGAGAACATGCGGTGTTTAATTTTCTGTCCTTGGGATAGTTTGCTCAGAATGATGGTTTCCAGCTTCATCCATGTCCCTACAAAGGACATGACCTAATCCTTTTTTATAGCTGCATAGTATTCCATGGTGTATATGTGCCACTTTTTCTTAGTCCAGTCTGTCACTGACGGACATTTGGGTCGATTCCAAGTATTTGCTATTGTGAATAGTGCCGCAATAAACATGTATGTGCATGTGTCTTTGTAGCAGCATGATTTATAATCCTTTGAGTGTATGCCCAGTAATGGGATGGCTGGGTCAAATGGTATTTCTGGTTCTAAATCCTGGAGGAATTGCCACACTGTCTTCAACAATGGTTGAACTAGTTTACAGTCCCACCAACAGTGTAAAAGCATTCCTATTTCTCCACATCCTCTCCAGCACCTGTTGTTTCCTGACTTTTTAATGATTGCCATTCTAACTGGTGTGAGATGGTATCTCATTGTGGTTTTGATTTGCATTTCTCTGATGACCAGTGATGATGAGCATTTTTTCATGTGTCTGTGGCTGTATGAATGTTTTCTTTTGAGAGTGTCTGTTCTATCCTTTGCCCACTTTTTGATGGAGTTGTTGATTTTTTTCTTGTAAATTTGTTTAAGTTCTTTGTAGATTCTGGATATTGACCTTTGTCAGATGGATAGATTGCAAAAATTTTCTCCCATTCTGTAGGTTGCCTGCTCATTCTGATGGTAGTTTCTTTTGCTGTGCAGAAACTCTTTAGTTTAATTAGATCCCATTTGTCAATTTTGGTTTTTGTTGCCATTGCTTTTGGTGTTTTAGACATGAAGTCCTTGCCCATTCCTATGTCCTGAATGGTATTGCCTAGGTTTTCTTCTAGGGTTTTTATGGTTTTAGATCTAACGTTTAAGTCTCTAATCCATCTTGAATTAATTTGTGTATAAGGTGTAAGGAAGGGATCCAGTTTCAGCTTTCTACTTATGGCTAGCCAGTTTTTCCAGCACCATTTATTAATTAGGAAGTCCTTTCCCTATTTCTTGTTTTTGTCAGGTTTGTCAAAGATCAGATGGTTGTAGATGTGTGGTATTATTACTGAGGCCTCTATTGTGTTTTCTTGGTCTATATCTCCTGTTTTGGTACCAGTACCATGCTGTTTTGGTTACTGTAGCCTTGTAGTATAGTTTGAAGTCAGGTAGCATGATGCCTCCAGCTTGGTTCTTTTGGCTTAGGATTGTCTTGGCAATGCGGGCTCTTTTTTGGTTCCATATGAACTTTAAAGTAGTTTTTTCCAATTCTGTGAAGAAAGTCATTGGTAGCTTGATGGGGATGGCATTGAATCTATAAATTACCTTGGGCAGTGTGGCCATTTTCACAGTATTGATTCTTCCTATCCATGAGCATGGAATGTTCTTCCATTTGTGTCCCATTTTATTTCGTTGAGCGGTGGTTTGTAGTTCTCCTTGAAGAGGTCCTTCATATCCCTTGTAAGTTGGATTCCTAGGTATTTTTATTCTCGTTGAAGCAATTGTGAATGGGAGTTCACTCCTGATTTGGCTCTGTTTGTCTGTTATTGTTGTATAGGAACGCTTGTGATTTTTGCACATTGATTTTGTATCCTGAGACTTTGCTGAAGTTGCTTATCAGCTTAAGGAGATTTTGGGCTGAAACGATGGGGTTTCCTAAATATTATAATCATGTTATCTACAAACAGGGACAATTTGACTTCCTCTTTTCCTAATTGAATACCCTTTGTTTCTTTCTCTTGCCTGATTGCCCTGGCCAGAACTTCCAACACTATGTTGAATAGGAGTGGTGAGAGAGGGCATCCCTGTCTTGTGCCAGTTTTCAAAGGGAATGCTTCCAGTTTTTGCCCATTCAGTATGATATTGGCTGTGGGTCTGTCATAAATAGCTCTTATTATTTTGAGATACATCCCATCAATACCTAGTTTGTTGAGAGTTTTCAGCCTTTGCCTTCTTAAAGGTTTAATTTGCCCTTAGGTGGACAGAGAAGCATAAAGTTAATTTTAACTACTAGTTGGTCGCAGTTCAAAAGCCTTATGTGTGGTTTGAGTTTCAGCTTAGATCTTTCCTTACATGTCTTTCCTGACAGCTCCTCAGATTTAGATAGTGTGAGGATCAAAACTGTATGAAGGTGCTTTACTCTTGATAATCTGTGAACGTCAACTAGGATAATTTTGAGTGTATTTGAAATGTGTTTTGAACTCTTTGAGAGTCTAGGCAATTTCACTTGGGTTCTATGATTAATTTGCTAGGTAGTAGGATGAAATCAAGAAACCTGCAGTTTGAATTGCCTTTGATTTTGTTTCTCAAAAAATGGGACAACAAAAATACCCACTTAGGACTACTGTTTCAGGCACTGTCTAATTGCATTTATCAGATCTTCTTGTATTCATTCCATGAGGAATCGAAGACCAGTTCAGTCAAGCAGCTGCCAAGGTTACATGGATAATAAAGGGCACATTCCCAGATCAAGCCCATGTAGACTGATTCTAGATTCTGATTTTGAACTGCTCTATTTCTGAATTGGAGTTTAACTTCTCTGTTACCCCTAGATTAATGGTGAGTGTTTTCTCTCTCTCACCCGAGTTAATTCCACTAACTCTAATCAGAACCCTAATTTAGCATATTTCCAGTAGAGGTATCCTACTCTAGAGTTTTTGTGCTATGTCTTAACTGTATTTTATAAATGAAGGGACATATTCCTCTGTAACATATGGGTGTATTGTATAATCTTTGAACAGGCAAAGGCATTCCAGAGAAAAGATAGATGAATTTCATATATTTGTATTAAAGCAATTCATTTTATTAAAACATAGATAAATAGTGGATCATTTAGGCAAGTTGCAGTCTATGTAGGTTAACCACTAAGCTATGCTTCCTGTCTTTGCATGCGTGTGTGTATATGTGTGTTTTTCCTAAAGATGTATCGAGGCTTAGTACTTTCAGGATGAGTTTAGTCCTGCACTGTGCCTTGAAAGATGAAGGGAGGTAGTTAGAGACAAAGATAAATTAACTGGTTAGCAGGATCCAGGTCCAAGTCCTTAGATGCCTATTAAAGAGTTCAGGCTTCACCCTGGCGGGAAGTAGGGAGATTTTTGAAAGACTGAGTACTAGAAGGACGTGATCAGGTTTGCAACTCAGAACTATCACTGTGGCTGCAGACATAAGAGTAGATGAGAAGGGTGGGTAGAAAGGTTAGGAAACTACGTTTTCCAAAGAAAAACATGGAAAGAACTGAAAGGGTGATCCTTGGAGTCAGAGCTAGTTAGAGAGTTTAGGGACTTAAGGAGGATTTGGTAAGAGATTTATTGTGAATCCTACATCCTAAAATTTTAATTTTTTTTTCTTTTCTAGAGATGATAAATAGCCAAAGATGTCAGTGGCACTCATGGACATAGTAAGCATAGTAGGAGCTGAAAAACTAGAAGCAATGAAAATGTCAACTATTTTGACCTAAAAGAAGCAGTGTCTTCGGAACATTTGGTCATAAAACCAGAAATTAAAGGATGAGAAAAACATTTTTCTGAAGCTTATACTTTCACATTTACTAGAGAGCATATTTGTATGGATGGGGTTGAGTAAACACTCAACAAAAGTTTCTTTAAAAAGAAGAAACCATCCTGGTTTGATGTTACATAATCACCAGTTACCCACTGCTCCCTTCCCTCCCCAAACTGCCCTGTTGCTTGCAGGCTCACCTGAGCTGAGAGGCAGCCCTCACTCCCCATTGGCACCTCACTGGGGCCTTCTTTATACCCTGGAGAACTTCACAGGGAATCTGTATCTGTAACACAAAGGCTTCCTGGTCCAGATGTAGATACTAGGTCTGACTGGATATTTAAGTCCTGCGGACTTACTCTGCCAAAATTATTTAATCATATAAAAATAATTTATAATTCTTACAAAGTATCCCATTCATAAGATAATGAATGTTGGGGTTATTGCATTTACTTGCACATGTACAGTATACAAGATTATACATTAATAATAATGTTTTCAAATAGTTATTGTCAAAGCTGTTTTTCTTATGTTTATGAAAGTGCTTATAAAATTAATGTTTTATGAGGCTAGAGATGTATATTTTGTAATTTCATTCTGATATTTGTTAATACTCACTTCCACTGCTGGGTTTGGTTGATGAGATTGGCATTGTCTAATTTCAAGCTTTTTGAGTGTGTACTCTTTCATGGCAAGTACAAAATAACTAGTAAAAAATATACAAATATGCTTAACAATCAGTAGACTTTCTCACATTGATTACTTACAACAGCTTTAGGTGGGGTGAATCAGATGCCTGTATTACAGAAGCATCTAATGCAAAGCAAAATCAAATGACTTGTATGAGCGCACAGAGGTAGGTGTGGAAGAAAGTGAAACACTATTTTAGGTTTTAGTTACACTCTGCTGTGGTGTGCTGCCTCATATTTGCATTAACCTGCAAATACTAGGGGTTATGAATTGTTTCTAAGTCTATTATTAAAAATAGCCTTGCTTCATTTCTTCCTAAAATGGAGACAAACGTGTATAGTGTCTATCTTACCAGTATGTGTAAGAATAATATCTTAATGTGTGTAACATGTTTATAGGAACCTGTATTTCAAAGAGCTATTTTTGCAAGTGAGACTAACCTTCTAAGAAACTTTTTTATTCAAACTTTTTTCTCCATTTATAACTGTTCTATTATTTCTTAATGTTCAGAACCCTTTTCATTATCTGTAAGGCTAAGTTTTAGGTAAGTTATGAGAAAATAATAATAATATATGGAAAAGAAATGAATGAGGAGTCAAGATGTCTGTCAATCAAGAATGAGTATGTCAGCCCTTGTATTATGATTTTACCTGGGAGGTGATAATTATTGGATGATGTAATGTAAGGGCAGTGATACTACATGGTATGTAAGACTGTTAAAATCATTGAGGTAAGATATTACTTGAACTAAGCACAGAGATACAGACAGATTTTTAATGCATTTAATTATCAAAATATCTAAATTAAAGATTTGGTGTGGCTGTTCACTGGAAACAAATGGCAGACAAACAGAATATTTCTTGGAGTCATAAATGACATCATACTGTTTCCAACTTTCTGTGTAGCTTCTTTCTTCAGTTGGTCTTTGCTTAGATTTCCCTGTGTCAGAGAAGACTTCCCTGGACATCAGTGACAGTTATTGATTGCTCATGCTATGAGCTCTTCCCATTTCTCAGCCCGCTTGCAGTAGGTGAGGCCATGATACTAGTTATAGCTGATTGCTTAAAGACTTTAAGGCTCCATATGTGACTTTCCAGCTCTTGTCCACTGCTACTCTGGCAGGACTACGGAGGTGCGCCGTGTTTCAGATACGGCAGCCTCCATCCGCCTGTGTCCCTGAATGACTAGAGCACAACCACTGGTGACCTGTGGTGGACACAGAATGTGGGTAAGAAATAAACTTATGCTACACCACTGGGGTTCAGGGGCTAACTTGTTACCACAGCATAGTCAGCCTTTTCTAGTACCCCATTCTGTCTAAATTTTGCAGTCCTACCCCACTCCATGCCTCCCCAACCCTTCACTCTGCTTAGTTTCTTTGTAGCACTGGTCACTGCATGACCTGTCTTTGTTTTACTTTCTCACATCACTTCTCCCTGCCTCCATGCACATACACAAAAATTTAAACTCCATGCCTGGCCAAAATAAATGTTTGGTAAATAAATTCTGCCAGTTCTGTTTGCAATTTCTCAGAAGCAAGGAAAGAAATCCTATATAAAGTGGATCTGTGCTTTGGCAATTTTCATTTAGGGTAATTGCCCTTTTTTAAAATGGCTGTGCATTTTTTATGATGAATATAAAGTATTTAGCGGAAATATTTTTTATTAAAATTGTTGAGCTTGTGGAATGACTCTAGCAGCCTGTGTGAAAGAAACACTATGCTAGAGAGTCGTCTTTCTGCCAGGTGTAATCGTTACATTTAGCTCTAGTTCTCCATGGGAGATCCATGCAGAGATGTGAAAATGGGATGTGTCTTCCTTCTTGAAAGTTGCTCCAGGTTTTGGCTTCAGGTGCCTCCTGTTTTCTGCCCTCTCTTTTCCCTGGGAGTTCCTTCTGTTTACTTTCATGAGGACTCTGGGCATAAAACATATTTGTATACCTGGGTGTGTGGGAAGGAATTGAAGGCAAAGGTAGCAGTCATTTCAGGCTGAAGATGTTAAGTAGTCATCTAGCACTTGGTTTTTGTAGAACCTCCTGTGGCAATCTCCACAGTGTTGTATTGGAAAGAAATCTTGTGTAAGAACTGGTCTAAGGGCCAGTGACCGTGAATGATGGTTGTGGTGACAGCATGGCCATTTTAGAGACAGGCAGACCAGATATTGGTTACTTTGATTTTAGTTGACAAAGTTTACTTGCTTTTAAGTTTTGAAACAATACAGCAGTGTGAACTTCAAGTTGTAAACTTTCATTTAGAAAGTTCAAAATTTAGTTCAAATATAAAATATTCTGAATTTGAATAAAAACTTTAAAACTCATTCTTCCTTTTCAGTTGTTTTAAACACAAATGAATAAAGAATATGATTATCACCAATTATTACATGTTTATATTTCTGTTGTATACTGAAGGGAGTGGTAAAATGAATGCTGGAGGAGGATTTTGGTTGAGAAATTGGGAAGAGGACGAAGTAGCAACTAAGACTGAGACGAATGGCTAGTTAGGAAACTCAAGAATATTAAACAGTAGGGAACAATAAAGTGTTTCAAAAAGAACTTAAGGTGCAACTGAGTCTAGTACAATTGATAGGTCAAGTAGGAGGAGAACAGAAGTATCCATAGAATTTGACAGCATTCAGGTCATGGAGACTGAGGAGTGATTTTTGTGAAGTGATAGGCACAAAAACCTGACATGGGTGGTTGTAAGAGGAATCAAGGAGAATGAGAATCCATGATTATTAGGGGTATTTCAGTTCAAGACATATTGAGGCTGGGCGTGGTGGCTCACACCTGTAATCTCAGCATTTTGGGAGGCCAAGGAGAGCATATCACTCCAGCCCAGGAGTCAAGTCTAACCTAGGCAACGTGGTGAAACCTGGTCTCCACAGAAAGTTCAAAAATTAGCCAGGTGTGTAATGTAGTCCCAGCTACTTGGGAGGCTGAGGTGGGAGGATTGTTTGAACCCAGGAGGTCGAGCAAGCATGCAGTGAGCCATGATCTTGCCACGTACTCCAGCCTAGAAGATAAAGCGAGACCCTGTGTTAAAAAAAAGAAAAAAGACATTGAAAAGTAAAGTAAAAAAATCTGTTTAAAGTTAGAGAGCTAGATAAGAGAATAATGAAATAAAGCCAGTAGAAGGAAATAAATGAGAAAAAAACAGGCAATGACATAATAGAAAAATTTTAAAAAATAATAAACCTAAATCTATTATTGAAATGACTAATAAAAACTGAGGGAAAAGAGCAGAAATAGACATCATGATAAAAAAAGGGGGACATAACTATAGGTACAATAATTTTTAAAGAATCTGAAATAACATGCACTGCTTTCTGTGACCTCTTGGCTCTCAGCATCCATTTCTACATCATCATGATGAGGGGAAAATCAGGGTCTAGAGTCACAAAATAGGAACTGTGGCTTCTCAGAGGGGCAGTAGAGCATAGTGGTTTAAAAGCATAGACTCTGGCGTCAGACCACATGGGTTTGAAAACGTCCTGACCCTTATTGGTTGTGACTTGGCTAATACCTCAGTTTCTCATCTTTAAATGAGGATAATGGGAGTCCTTATGGCGTTATGTGAAAAAACAAGTCAGTTTGTGAAGAAGCACTTAGAATAGCTCCTAACATAAAGTGAACACTGTCTCGTGTGGGTATAATTGAGTTCAAAAATTTGTTTCATATATATGTGTGTGTGTGTATGTGTGTGTGTGTGTGTGTGTGTACATATGGTTTTTTTGTTGTTTTTGTTTTTTTTTGAGACGGAGTCTCGCTCTGTCACCCAGGCTGGAGTGCAGTGGTGCAATCTCAGCTCACTGCAAGCTCTGCCTCCTGGGTTCACGCCATTCTCCTGCCTCAGCCTCATAAGTAGCTAGGACTACAGGCGCCTGCCACCACGCCAGGCTAATTTTTCTTTTGTATTTTTAATAGAGATGGGGTTTCACCATGTTAGCCAGGATGGTCTTGATTTCCTGACCTCGTAATCCGCCTGCCTCAGCCTCCCAAAGTGCTGGGATTACAGGCATGAGCCACCGCAACTGGCCTGTTACATAATTTTTAACTCTACTGACTGAAATGTATTATACCCCCTTCTTTAAAATGCAGCCAAGATAAATTAGGATCATTAGTGGCAACTTTATTTTGATTCTGAGGTATTAGTAAATCCTTTATTTTATAATTTTAAGCATTAAGTGAGCATTCGTAAACTTGAAAGGTTTAAGCTAGATCTACTCCTATCCAGAGCTAAATGAGTAGAAAATCAGTACCCCAAGTTACCTGCTGACAGCCTAGTCACTCCCTTGTGTCCAGGGCCAGGTGTTCCTAAGTGCCTTCTGCTCTGAGTGGTCCAGATTAGTCTAGGAAGCCTGTAAGTTGTTCTCTTGGTGCAATTTTGCTTAGAGTACCTACGTATCAAAGTGGCTTATTACCTCGAAACCCTAAAATCCTAATTTAAGTATGTTTAAAATACCTCAGCTGACATGATAAACTTTCCCCATCTGCAGAGGACATTAATTCAATTGCTAATAAAAGACTTATATATGATGTTTTAAAATTATTTTTCCACATTTTTATCTCTGTTAAATGCTGACCTTTTTCATTTTAAATATTACTGGCTGATACTTAAAGGAAATCCAAATACTGTCTTTGACAACCCTTAGATATTCATGGCTAGAGCTTATGAATCATGGTTTTCTTGAGTTAGGAAACATGTTACTATTAAAATAATTTTTCAGAGTGAGAGAATGCTAACGTAGATTAGTTTATTTATGTCTAAACAACCTAACTTTAGCATTTATTGTTTTCTGTTTGTGTGTGTATAATCTATCATTGTTATCAGAGACATAGCCAAAGAGGTGAAGATCCAGCTCACATGCTGTAAGGGGGTACAGCTACTCATGTGTGCTTGATCTGCAGAGTTTAGCAGAGGTCCTTATTAAGCGAGCTAAAAGTACTCACACAGGTGCTAAACACTGTGCCCAATATTTGTGTTGAAAGCAAACAAAAACAGCCCCTGACATCCAGAACTGATCTGACATTCACATTTAGACCTCAGTACAAGCTAGTCTGATGTTCATGGCCAGACCCTTGTGTTCTGCCCTTGGGCATGTACAGTCTCACAGAATGTCAGAAGTGCAGTCTGGAATCATAATAAAATGAGACAATAACAAGATCACTCTGCAACACAAAATTCTAAACATTCCCGTCACCAAATGAGTGCCTGCTGCCGTACCAGTTATAGCTGTATCTTCATGCTAGTCTGTCCTCCCTATGGATAAGATTTATTGAGATACCCAATTATAGGTTCACTCAGAAATCTGTAATTTCTGACACCCTCCAATCTAGAGCAAGCCCCCACTTCCTTAGATGCTCTGCCAATTTGCCCAACCAAAGCCCAGTTCCTGTAAGAAGCTCTTAATAACACCGTCTTATTGAGACATCTCTTGGTTCCCTATGCTGTGTCTTCTCACTAATTGCAAGGAGGAATAAACCCAACCTGTTTATAGGTCTGTTCCAGTGGGCTTTGGGTAAAGGGTGTTGATGATGTATATTGTCTATTGAATCCTCAAGGCAATTCCATGACTTAGTTCTGTCAATTGAGAAAAATGATGACATAAATCTCAGTCATTTTAGGAGATTTATTTGCCAAAGTTAAGGATACGTCTGCGAGACAGGTCTATGCCCTTCTCCACAGATGAGTTTGAGGGCTCCAAATTTAAAAAGGAAAGGGTGGGAAATTGAGATGTACACAATTTTCATGTAAGAGGGGCATAGAGAAAAATAGTTAATCATGCCTTTGGCTCAGTGAATCTGCATTTTTACATAAGATGACATAAATGGGGCAGAGAAAAATATAGGGAATCTGCATTTTACATAAGATAAACAGACAAAATGGGGAAGGGGAATAATCAGATAGGCATTTATGTCTGGTGGGCCAGGGTAACTGCACCTGTAAAGATAAGCTGTCAATTAACATTCTCGTGAAATTTTAACAGGCCACTAAGAATTTCCTTGTGGGCAAAATATGAGGAGGCATGTAGCTTTTCATCTTGTAGCCATCTTATTTAAAACCAAAACGGGGAGGTGGGTTTGTGTGACCCAATTCCCAGCTTGACTTTTCCCTTTGGCTAAATGAGTTTAGGGTCCCAACATTTAATTTCCTTTCACGGTTCTCATTATTCTCATTCTCCAGGTGAGGAAGCTGAAATTCAGAAAGCTTAAGTATCTTGCCCATGTTGATGTGGATAATAAATGGCACATCCAGGCTTCAGAATTAGGTCTGTTGTGCTCCCAATCCTATGCTCTTTAAAATTCAAGTTTTCAAATCACCATAATATTTTATACAGGTGGAAAATGAAATGTAACATACATTTAAGTTATGATACATATTAAAATGAACACACATGAATTTGCTACCCAACTTAGGAACAGGCAGGAATTTTAGATCTATCGTTGTATATTTCTTAAGGCTTTAAAAAATCCTATCCTATCTTTTTTATCTTATTTCCCAGAGCAAATCAGTTACCTATGTATTATGGTTATCATTGCCTTCCTTTTTTTTCTTGATTTTGTAAAATTTTGAAGGCAACTCAAATTTACAGAACAAAAATGCAAGTATAAAGTAACTTTTTCTTTTTTTTTTTCTCTTTTATCTCTTAATAAATAACTTTTTCCTGACCATTTTCAAGTAAGTTGCAAACCTGATGCCCTGATCACCCCCAAATATTTAATATTTTCTACTAATAAGAACATTCTTCTGCTTAACGGCAATGCACAATCAAAATCATGAAATTAATGTTGATGCATAATTATCATACAATCCTTGATCTCCATTCATGTTTTACAGATTGTTCTCATAATGCCCTTCATATAAAGTAGAAGAGATCAGTTTAGAATCATACGTTAGTTGTCAACTAATCAATCAGCTAATCATCATAGAATCAATACTTAGTTGTCATTTCTCTTCCAGTGCTTGTGGTGTACATTTTGATCACTTGATTAAGGTGGTGTCCTCCAGATTACTCTGCTATGAAGTTGTTTTATTTTCCTTTGTAATGAATAGGTATTTTGTGGAGAAGGTCTTTAAAACTATGCATGTAGTATGTTCCTCATGAAACTTTACATTAGTTGTTCATATCCAATAAGATTCATGGTGGTTTATTTCAGTCATTGGATTATAACCCATCACTATCATATATTTTGATGCTCAAATTCTTCCAGATTTAGCCCATGGGAGACTATTCATGTACCCTTGTTTCTTTTAGTAAAGAATATTTTAAATCAAAATCTTGGCTGTAAGTGTGCTTACAGTTATTGAAGTGCCC